ATTGATGAAGATGTTGAAGAGTACGGGGCCTAAAATGGAGCCTTGGGGTATTCCACTGCGTACTTCCCTCCATGTAGATGCAGTTCCATTTTCGTCTACTCCTAAGCATTGGATAACGTGGTCTTTTTTTTTTTTTTACCATGGCAACATGTGGGAGATCCTTGAACTTCTATAAGTGGTCCTTGATTTACAACCATTCATTTAGTGACCATTCAAAGTTACAACAGCCCTTACAAAAGTGACTTACTACCATTTTTCACACCTGTGTGACCCTTGCAGCATCCTCATGGTCACCCGATCTAAATTCAGACACCACTTGGCAACTGTCTCATAGTTATGATGGGTTGCAGTGTCCCGGGGTCACCTGATCCCCTTTTGCGACTGAGCGAATCTGGGGAGGCCAGATTCACTTTACAACTTTATTACTAACTTAACACGACTGCAGTGATTCGCTTAACAACACTGTGTGGCAGGCAAAAGGAGGCAAAACTCAACAACTTAGCAACAGAATTTTTTGGGGCTCAATTGAACTTTTCAGGAACTTTCCCCACCCTTTTAATCCATGGCGCACGTGCGGGCGGCCGCGGCAGTTCCGTTTGGCTTTTTAATAAATGAAATTACTTGAGGTCAGATGTTTCCATCCTCTTTATTAAGAATAAAATTGCACACAAGGGAGTCATTTAAAAAAAAAAGAAGAAGAAGAAGAAGAGGGGAAGGAAAGAGAAGAATCACCGTGAAGACAACACCGATTGTTATCGCTTTCGGATGGATCTCGGGAGAAAGAAAGAGAGACTTGTGCCTGAACTCCCAAATCCCTTTTCTGTTTTATTTTTGATTGGTGAAAGAATATCAACTTTTCAAGAGATTCAAAGGGCCACAAAAAAAAAAAAGGAGTCAGCGGCAAAAGACGGCAGGGGGGTGGCCTTCGTAGAGAAGGAAGGAAGGAAGGTATCTCCCAAGGAATAGAAACCTGGCAGATCCAAAGGATTACAGTCCGGAAATCTTGTCTGCTGGTCCAGTCATATCCTGATAGGATGGATTCCTTCTTGTTTTTGGAACGGAAGGCTGGCTGCTTAGGCTAGGGCCAAGGGGTACCATGAGTCTTGACGGGGGCCAACGCTTAGACCTGATGGTTGAGACATAGCAGATGGGAAGGTATAGTCTTCTGGCTCATACTTGAACTGGGGATGAGGCTCATCCAGCCCGTTTTCAGAATGTCCCGGGCTCTGCAGGGGTCAGAAATAAAACAATCAGTTCATCACCATAAATAGGACCATTCTTAAGATGGTCACTCGTTCTGGCTTACTGTCCTTTGTTTAATGCCCATTCGAAGTTACAACAGCACTGGGGAAAAAATGGGACTTACAACCCGTCCTCGCAGTTACAATCGTGGCGTGACCACAAGTTACACGATCAAAATAAGGGCGCTTGCAGGTGGCATGCATTTACAATGGTTGCAGCACGCTGGGGGTCCAGGGATCCCCATGTGCAGGAGTCAGCAACCTGTGGCTCTGGAGCCGCATGTGGCTCTTTCATCCTTCTGCTGCGGCTCCCTGTCACCGGTCGGCTCCACAATTGATAGGGCTTTTGGTTAGGGCAGGCAGAGGGAAAAGGATGCCATGCTAGGAGGAGACTCTATGGTGGGGGAACCGGACTTCCGGTCGGCTCTGGAATTGAACGGGGGGCTTCCGGTGGCTCTTTGAGTGTTTACGGTTGCCGAACCCTGCCCATGTGTGACTTTCCTAGTCAACGGGGGAAGCCAGATTCACTTAACGACTGCCTCATTCACTTAACAATTGCAGTGATTCTCAACAACTGTGGCACAAAAAAAAAGTTGTAGAATTGGACACGACCCAGTTCCCCCCCCCCTTGGTTACTTGCTTAGGCATCTCAATTTTGTAGCAAACTGCTTTTGAAAAAAAAAGGTATATTTACCTAGATGTTTTTGCAATGTGTCTATTGAAAAAAAAAATGACATAAACGTTTGATAGGAATCCACCTCAACTTACAACCATTCATTTATCCAAAAATGCTTTTTATTTCAGGAAGCAACTGGACTTTCTTGTTTTTCTTTGAAGAAGTTTCACTTCTCATCCAAGAAGCTTCTTCAGCTCTGACTGGATGGTTGGGAATAGAAGGATTTATGGGCATGACTCCCTTAACAACTGCCTCGCTTAACTATGGACGTTCTAGCCCTAAACGTGATTGTAAGTTGAGGACAGATTACGTCGATGTGAGGGCCCTGCTGATTCTACTGACCTGGGAAGTTGACACTATTGCTTGTCCCGGATATTGTGGTGTGATGGCTGGTTCGGTTTTTAAAGTGACGGTGCTCTCTGAGTTTGTAAGTGAGGAAGGAGAGTTGGTGGTGGAAGTTGTAGAACCTGAGAATGATAGAAAAATATCTATTAGAATCCATCTATCATCTACTATCATCATCAATCCATCAATCTCTCAATTATCTATCTATCTATCTATCTATCTATCTATCTATCTATCTATCTATCTATCTATCTATCTCTGTCTGTCTGTCTATATCTATCTATCTGCATCATCTATCAATCTATCAATCCATCAGTCATCTCTCTATCATCTATCTATCTATCTATCTATCTATCTATCTATCTATCTATCTATCTATCTATCTATATCATCTCTCTCTATATCTATCTATCTGCATCATCTATCAATCTATCAATCCATCAGTCATCTCTCTATCATCTATCTATCTATCTATCTATCTATCTATCTATCTATCTATCTATCTATCTATCTCTGTCTGTCTATATCTATCTATCTGCATCATCTATCAATCTATCAATCCATCAGTCATCTCTCTATCATCTATCTATCTATCTATCTATCTATCTATCTATCTATCTATCTATATCATCTCTCTCTCTATCATCTATCATCTATCATCTCTCTATCTCTACCTATCTCTCTGTCTCTATAACTCTCTCTCTCTCTCTCTCTCTCTCTCTACCTACCTACCTACCTACCTACCTACCTACCTACCTACCTACCTACCTACCTTGCAGCATCCCTGTGTTCACATGATCAAAATTTAGATGCTTAGTAACTGATTCATATTTATGACGGTTTGCAATGTCCTGGGATCTCCTTTTGCGACCTTCTGACAAGCAAAGTCAATGGAGAAGCCATATTCACTGAACTACTTATTATTTATTAATTATTAATTTACCAACTGCATTGATTCACTTAACAACAGTGGCAAGAATGGTCATTAAAATGGGGCAAAATTCATTTAACAGATGTCTCATTTAGCAACAGAAATTTTGGGCCCAGTTGTGGTCGTAAGTCGAGTTGTGTATGATGCTAAAGGCCCAGTGCCATCCCATCTGGTTATCTGCAGGTTAGGATTCTAACTTAACTTTCCATCAGTTGATTCTAATGCAGTTCCTGTCCCATTTCTGTTTTTTACAATCAATTTATTAGCTCTCCCGATTAACAAGGGAGCTCTCCGCAGGGTCAAGAAAATAAGCATTAAAACCAGAAATCCTATCGTAAGAGGGAAATTATCTCAAGATCCTGTCAGTGAACAACAATACGGTTAAAAAACAGAGTTTTAAATCACTCTTTTGACACCGAGAAGGCACTGTTAGCATTGTAGGGGGAAGCCCAAAGTTTTCACAAATAACTTAAATAAATCTTGAATAACTTAATGTGAGTTAGTGCACTCAGTGGCCATGAAATACCAGGAATGTTTACGAATTGCTGGATAGGAAAACATTTCAAAATTGGTGGGAGTTGAACTGAAAATACAGGAAGAGGTAGTAGAGATCTCCGAAAATTATCTGCCCTGTAACAGTTTGTTTGGATTTACTTCTACATTTATTTATTTGCTGCCAAAGCACTCAAGAAGGCTTACAAGTTCATAATGACTACAATCAATCTTTAACCATCATTTTTTGTTAGAGCGGGCAAAATCACGGGGGGCTATCCGTCTTGAATTGTAACGCTTCAGGCCAAAAATTTGGATAGGGCAAGAGTGAAAATAAAATACAACTCCCAGTTGTCCAGAACTGCAAAAAAAAATGTAGTTCACGAATTATCCCTTGCATACACATAGTTTGTTGAAGTAACAACTACTAGCTGGGCACATTGATAAAAACCAGGATGCAAACTAAGATCTGCCAGCCAGAATGGATGCATTCACACAATACACCAAGCCTGCATTTTTCCCAATGGGACTCTTGCTCTAGGGATTGGGACGGCATATATTGTTATAGTATTCCAACCTGTCTTGGTACATCTAAGCTAGAGATGGCTACACTAAGCTAAAAAAATAATCAACCAAACAACATTATCTGTTAGAACCCTGTTTGAATTCAGCCAAACAATAACTCATCTTCTTCCTTTCTGCTCTTTTTCCGGAGAATTGAATAGCGATAGAACTTAAGATTTTATATACTGCTTCACAGTGCTTTACAGCCCTCTCTAAGTGGTTTACAGAATCAGACTTTTGCCCCCAACAATCTGCTTACTCATTTTGCCAACCTTGGAAGGATGGACGGCTGAGTCAACCTGGAGAAGCCTGTCAGGATCGAACGGCTGGCAGTTGGCAGAATTAGCTTGCAATGCTGCGTTCTAAGCACTCTGCCGTCACGGCTCCTACAGGGATGGGTTCCGGCAGTCACAGCTGCCGATTTGCTCACGGGCGTGGCACCGTACATGCTCGGTACAATAAAAATTGTTCTGTGCATTTGCAAAAGCAAAAAAAATAAGATGGCACATGGAGAACCGGTTCAGGGGCGTGGCAAACCACTAGTGGTTCAACCCAACTGGTCAGAACCGATAGGAACCCACCACTGGGCTCCTACAAACCTTTTGAGACTTCAATATGTCTTCTACTATAGTGGCCCCCAACCTTTTGAGCACCAAGGACTGGTTCTGTGATGAGAGGTTTTTTCCCCCCAAAAAAGGAGTTGGGGATATTTACTGATGCACTAACAAAACAGAATAATAATGAAATACTTACTGTTTGCTGAGGATTTGCTTTTATTGACATTTTTAGGTTTCCGTTTTCTGGTCTGNCTTGCATAGTATGCCAGTTTCAATTAGCCCTATTAAGCATATTTTGGAACTGCTAGCTGGCAGGAACTACCACAGAATTTAAACCCACAAGAGAAAAAGGTGTAGGTTTTTTTTTAATGTATGATAGTGAATGGTTTCATTTAAAGAACCTGGCTTCAATACAGAGAGTTTCCCCTGAGGTTGGAGTAGGCAACTTGTAATCCCCCCAGAAGTTTTGGATTACAAATCCCACACACTCTATTCATTGGCCTTGCTAGCTGGGATTCCGTAAATTGTAATCTGAATCACCAGGAGGGCAACAGGTTGCATATCCTTTTCCTGGAATAGGTTGCTGAGAGTTTGTGACATAAATCTCACCTTTGGGATCACGGATGGAAGGTTTCAAATGCAATACAAATGGCCAAGTCCCTGAAGAATCTCTGAAAAGGGTGTAGTTGGCTGAAGTGTGACCTTGGCTCACACCATTATCAAATTACACTTCCTGGGAGGTCACACACCAATATAAATGAGCTGTTCTTATTCATGTGAAATCTCACAGGACAGTTTTGTTTCAATCCCCAAACACTAGAACTCCTGATCTCCTCATTTGCAAACAACCACACCTTTGCCTGTGTGGGGTAAAATCTGTAAACAGACTGCAGCCTCTTCTATCAATATTTAGTGTATATTTAACACACTTAGTTCCTGGCATTATTAGCACAGTAAAATAGATGGGAGAAAAGTGCTTCTTTGCAAAGGCTTTACTGGAATCACTTGTGCATGAACTCCTTCGTAATAAATCGTGAGTGATGCTTGGAATGCTTCCCAATAAATCATTTAAGGGCAACCCAACTTTCTTGGTGACATTGTAGGTCCCCATTGACTTGTTATTTTCCATGTTGCAGTAGAAGAGGGGAATCCTTGACTATAGGAAGAGGATCTGATGGGGTTTATAATCCACTTAGCTATGTGGTAGAGAAACCCACCAAATGCCTTTTCTGTCCACAGAGAGATGTTTCCATTGCCACTCTGGCTAGCAAACCACAGTGCTACAACACATCTACTATTACTTCTCCAGGTTTTGAAGGCTCATAGCAAGATGCCTTTAGAATAGGTAATAGGGACCAAACATGCTGTATCCCTGCCCTTCCTCATTGGCTATCACTGAGATATTGTGTGACATTAGTATTGGCTGCCATGTTGCCATTAGGACAGACTGTGTTCAAGATGATGGCATTTGGAAAGCTACTGCTTCTCAACAAACATGTTGTTCAATGCTTCTCACTGGAATATGAGAAAGCTTCAGCAAAATTCACTGATTGCGTGATAGTTCTATTACATTACATTTCATTTCATTTCATTTCATTTCATTACATTACATTACATTACATTACATTACATTACATTACATTACATTACATTACATTACATTACATTACAT